AGTGTGGTGATTAAGGGTAGGGAGCTAAGATTTGGATCCTAAATCCCACTAAGATGGAAGGCACCCTTAAGCAGGTCACTTTGCTTCTCCTAACACTGTCCTCTCTACTACACTGAGGACACTGTATGCTTCCTATTATTATGACGATCCAAAGGGAGAATGCTGGCTAGTACTTTTCTTTTTACTCTACTTTTTTGTGTTCCTGGACACCAGGCCAAGTCGAATGATGATTTCTGTATAACACCCTAAAAATCATGCTGGAGATGTTTAGGTAATGACATTGAGGCACAGTTTAGGAATACCCAACTCAGTCTGTGCCGCCTTCCTAGAGTAGAGGGACCCACCTGACCATAACGTGGAACATCAGGGACTAACCAGATCATGGGAGAAGCCAGTTTTGTGAAGGAGGATCTTGACTGAGCCAAGAGCAAGGCATGTGAGATGGCAAGTGTATGTGGACTGGTGAGCATTTGACATCACTGGCACTGTAGTGTGGAGCAAGGACAGTTGGCCAGTTTGGGAACTTGAGCTTTATTTACAGGCATTGAGAATACATGCATGGGTTGTACTCAGTAAGAAACAGGTGATGTTTGTGTCTCGAAAAGATGATGGTGATGCTTATGTACATGATTGATGTGAGGTGGAGGGGAACTAAGAGACGATTACAAAAGTTCACAAGAGCAGTGATGTTTACCGAAGAGTTGATAGTGGCTGTTAAATGACTTGGGAATCAGATTTTTCTAAAGTAGTAGAATAATAGAATAGGATCTGCAATATAAAATCTGGTGGCTGATGCCATTGGAGGTAACATTTTAAGAATGAGAGGTTTTTATGGTTAGAAATATTGTTAATTGATTTTAGTAATAAATATTTTGTGTGAGAACTTAAGGAATTCAATTTTGAGATGGCTTTCATAAATTATAGTATATCATAGACAGTAACTAGCACATACTGAGAAATTAATATCTGAAGCCATGTTCCTTTAGACCTTGTTGGAATTTCTGTCTCCTGATTTCAGCCTGGCCCAGACTTGGCTCTTTTGAACATTTGCAGAGTGAAACAATAGATGGAAGATTGATATCTCTAACTGGCCTCTCTCCCTCTCTCTATGTGTCACTCTGCTTTTCAAATAAATAAATGTATCTTTTAAGTTGAGAAACCTTGTGATTTTTTTATCTCAATACTCAGAGTCAGAGAAGTGTATATTACATTGCAAATCCAAACTTATATGTCATATATAATATATTTTAGATAAAGATATCATTTGTTATCTCCTCTAAAAGTAATTTATAATTCAGTCATTTGCCTTTTCTCCCAAAAATGTCAAAAAAGGAAATATTTCATAATGTTACAAATGTTAAGCCTTTCACAAATTTTCTCATAATGGAAGAGAATCTTCTTTAAAATTTTAAAAAATTACTTTGCATGAAGATTCATCTTTTTTTTTATACTTTCAGTGTATGCTTGTATATGTTTGAGAGATGTGTATATAACTGTAACCACCATCACCATTCATATACAACATTTTTTTGTCCTTAAACTTTGCTTTGGGTCTTTTTGCAGAAAATCTCCCCCAGTCCCATCCCTCACCTCTGCCCCAGGCACTCACTGATCTGCTTTCTTTTTGTTTATTTAATTTATTTGAAAAGCAGAACAGAGATAGATATGGGGACAAGAGATATACTCCATCCTTTGGTTCATTCCCCATATGCCTTCAACATGTGATACTTGGCCATGTCAATGCCAGGGGCTGGAAAATCAATCTGGGCCTCCCATACTTGAGCCATCACCTGCTGCTTCCCAGAATCACATTCGCAGGAAGCCAGAGTGGAGGGGTGAGCGGAGACTCAAATGGGGAGAGCACCTTCGAGTCTTTCTCTGTCCTCTTTGTCTATACCTCTTTGTAGTTGAATCAAGTCCTCTTTTTACTGCAGCTGTTGAATCAGATACACTTAGTGTCTGTCACCTTACGTTACCAAACCCTGGTGTTCTTCACCTCCTCCCACCTTTGTCCTGTGAAAGGGGCAGTGGTTCTGCCTAACTGAAGTTACGTCTTGTTCCTCCTTTCATCTCCCCAACATGGTTCCCTTTCTACAATCCAAACACTTGGCTATTTATTGCAAAGTTCTCATATCCCTGTTAGCAAACAAAAAATTCTGAACTATATGTACAGGTATCTTAATGCACTTCAAGGAACCTGCACAAAATTGTTGGAATGTCAGCAAAAACAAAATATTCTAAGACTGGTCATACTAATGTATAGTTACATTTCATTTCCTAGTCCCTTTCTTTTTTTTTTTTAAATATTGAATATTTATTTATTTTTTTCTAATTTTTTTTTATTTTTTGACAGGCAGAGTGGACAGTGAGAGAGAGAGACAGAGAGAAAGGTCTTCCTTTTGCTGTTGGTTCACCCTCCAATGGCCGCTGCGGCCGGTGCACTGCAGCCGGTGCACCGCGCTGATCCGATGGCAGGAGCCAGGTACTTCTGGTCTCCCATGGGGTGCAGGGCCCAAGGACTTGGGCCATCCTCCACTGCACTCCCTGGCCACAGCAGAGAGCTGGCCTGGAAGAGGGGCAACCAGGACAGAATCCGGTGCCCCGACCGGGACTAGAACCTGGTGTGCTGGCACCGCAAGGCGGAGGATTAACCTAGTGAGCCGCGGCGCCGGCCCCTAGTCCCTTTTCTACTCTAAGACAAAATCGATTGGACTTTCTCTATATTGCAACTACATATGTGTGTGTGTGTGTGTGTGTGTATAAAGAGTACAAGATTTGGATCTTATACCTGAGTTGCTTGTAGCTGGAAGTACCATTAAAGTAATGTAGTCTATCGTTAAAGCATGTGACGTAGACTGATGTTAGTTAGGTGTTCTTCCACAATTTTAGTGATCAGACCATTTAAATCTCATATAAACTTGTTGGAATGGAAAGAAGTAGAAAGATTCTGTTTCCATAAATATGTGATGACCTTAAGACTAAAACCAGATGAATGAGGAAGAAAATGAAAGGCTGCTGTCATTAGCACACACATAAAAGATCTAAATAGTAAGCTGAATTCTGTAATATATTGAAATGGTAATATCTGTGATCCTGTTTATAATTGAAAAAAAAAAAAAGCTCACTGTAGGCACCCTATTAACAGATTCAAGGCAGATGAAGATACCGTCTCGGTAGATGCAGATAGATATAGAACAAATATTTGTGTTCACCACTCATTAATAAAATAGCTCCTAGCAAGTGATAAAGGAAGCTTTCCTAATTTGCTACAGAGAAATTGCAAAACACTTTAAGAGAACATCATTGTCAACATTACCACTTTTAGAAAATGATAAAACCATGTAGAAGATAAGGATACCTATTCCCACTATTCCCACTCCTCTTCGGCATTTTATAGGGATTCCTAGAGAGGGTAATGAAGAAACAATGAGAGATTTATGGACTAGAAATGAGGAAACATTAATGGGGTAGCACACTATCTTCATAGGAAACCCTACAGTATATAATCATAAATTATCCATATTAGAAGTAATAGGTGAGCCTCTCAGAGTGACTGGATATAAGATCACTGTAAAAGATCAAACTCATTTTTATATTCCAACCACAAATGCTGAGGAAACTTCACTTTATTCATTTTCTACATATGTATTTATATGAGTGACAGCTCCCCATGTTGGTTTTCTTCCCAAATGCCTGTAACAGCAGTCAGAGCTGACATCAGGAGCTGGGAATTCAGTTCAGGTTTCCCACGTGGCTGGCAGAAACTCTCTCAATTGAGCCTATACCACTGCCTCCCAGGGTCTGCATAAGCAGGAAACTGGAGTGGGGAGCCAGAGGCAGACATCAAATGCAGGCTTTCCAGTGTAGGATACAGGCATCTTAACCACCAGGCTAAACACCTGTTTCCAGAAAACTTAGAATTTTAAATGATATATTCATTTTTGTTTATTTGAATGGCAGACTGTCAGAGAAAGGGGAAGAGGGAGGGAACGAGAGACACACAGAGGGAGAGAGAGAGAGAGAAACTGGTTCTGTCTCATCAATGCCTGCAACATTTAGAAGATAGATAGATAGATAGATAGATAGATAGATAGATAGATGTCTTGCACAAGTGAGATTACAGCATTTACTAGAAGTGAGAGAGTGAACATACATTAACACATGAGTATGGGCTACTCCACATGGAGAGATACCCAACATGAGTGTACCAGAGGGTTGCCCATAAAAGAAAGAGTAGTACCTCCAAGCATGGGACATGGCAGAAAGAGGCCTCTCCCTCATTCTCAGCCTCTTTTATGAGGTAGCAGATAAACTGGGTAGAGTCTTAGTATGTCTAAAGGCCTCAGGAATTTTACAACACTTATTTGTGAAATTGAAATTCCATGTCGTTGTGGTTGACTCCTTCCTGGTTCTGGATGTGACACAGGTAATCAAGCCAACAGTTAAAGAAACAAGCCTTACATTGCAGTGCTGTAAGGATTGCAGTTCACCTAGACTTTGTAACCACAAGCAGGACCAGGTCTAAATTCCCAAATCTTAACTGTTCTCTAGAGATCTTTGCCTCCTAAACAAGTCAGATAATTCTGAAGCATTTGCATTAGTGAGTCATGCTGACCAAATGTGATTTTGTGTGCTTCTTGCCATAACTTCTTAAAGTCTTTTCTTTCTCCTTTCCTACTTGTCGCTAAAAGCTTCCACATGAGAGTTTCTTGTGCCTTAGGAAACCTCTGTTGTTGGGACATTTAAAGCAGCCTGCACACTCAGTTTTTGTCGATACCAAAATACAAAGTTTCACTTTGGGTATACCATCTGTATCCCAGATTCTTTGTTAGTCTTCTGTAGAAAAGTGGGGTTCCCTCTTCCTGAGCATGGATTGTACTTACAGTCTTGTTTCTAATGAATAGACTGTGGTGGAAATAACAGGGTGTCATTTCTGAGACTAATTCCTAAAAAGGCATGTGGTTTCATCCTTTTTCTCTCATTTGGGTCATTTGTTCTAGGGAAGCCATCCACCGAGTCATAAGGAAATCCAGGAAGCTCTTTGCGGAGGTCCCCATGGGCTCCAGCCAACAGCTGTAGGAGTGAGCCCTTTTGGAAGCGGATCATCCACCTTCTTCCCCACCTTCAGATGACTGCAGTCCTGGCCAGTGTCTTGACAGCGTCCTCATGAGAAGCCCTGAGCCAGGACCAGCCAGCTAAGCCACCGCTGAACTCCTGACACAGCAATTGTGAGGTATTTCAGTTGTTTTAAGCCACCACATTTTGGGGATAATTTGTTATGTGGTGAAAGATAACTGATAGACTATCGCGAAACATTTCATACTTAAGAATACATAGGCCTTTTGTCCATCTTATAAAATAAGCCCATTAGCATTGTTTAGTTCTTTGAGATTCTTATTTTTCTGTTGTTATTTTTTTGGATTTTCTTGGAAGCAGAGATATGCGTTAAAGATATTATTAGCGTGTTTTTGTTTCTTCACTCTTCTGGAGTTTCTACCTTTGGGAAGTTGTTGCAAAGATATCAGTGACCATCACATCTTCTTAGTAAGTTCTTGTCTTTAGCAGTAGAAAAGTTTTGCTTGACTGTTACCCTGAGATTAACATTATAACCCTTGACTTTTGAAATTTTTAATTACCCATTATATCCTTCATTCTTTTATTTCAGGCTCTCATATACAACATGGAGTTGAATTTTACTGTGTGAGCCAATCTGAGAATCTTTTCCTTTTAATAGATGATTTACACACACTTTTAAAGATTGATACATCTATTGTATTTGCTCTCCATTATGTCATTTTGAAAGAAATTCCTTTTAAAAATAATTACTTAATTGGGAAGCAGCAGGAGGAAGACAGATAGGGAGAGAGTGAGCACACATGTGGGAGAGCACAGGCGGTAGTGCTCCCATTGGCTAGTTTACTCACAAGACTTGCAATGGCCAGGGAAGCTCAATCAAGGTCTCACCTGTGAGTGGCTGGAAGCCAGTCACTTGCTCCATCACTGCTGCCTCCCAGGGTCTGCATAGCAAGAAGCTGGAGTCATGAGCAGAGCTGAGTCCAGGTGCTGCACTGTGGGGAGCAGGTGTGTTAAACAGCGTCTTAACTGCTAAGCCAATATACACTGCTCATTTATGTCATATTTATACATACTAAAATGCATGGTGTTTTATTACTTTCCATGTGTTTATATATTTTTGTAATTGTCTCATAGTAGTCACCTTTTTAACAATATTCATATGTCCTTCAGCTTCCCTTCTTCAAACATTGACTTTACCTGGAACAACAGTGAGAGCACCTGAAACCTCCTCCTTCTCCCTGTGGGGCCTTTCACCATCCAGTTTTAGTCAATAGTATTATGTTTCCTAATGTTTATTGTCCTGTCAAACATATTTTGGTCATAATACTCGGTTTGTTGTGTTCATTATTTTTAAATTCCTTAAAGAGGGAGTGAAATACAGAGAGAGAGCTCTCATCTTCTGGTTCACTCCCCAAATGTCCACAATGGCTGAGGCCAGAGACAGGAGTGGGTATTCCCTCTAAACCTCCCACGTGGGAGGCATGACCCTTACCACTTGAGCCATCACCTGTTGCCTCCCAAATTCTGCATTGGTTCAGAAGGCGGAAGCAGAAGCTGGAACTGGGAATTGAAATCAGGTACCTTCCTATGGGATGCAGGTATCTTAGCAGAGGTCTTAACTAGCATCTCGACTGCTATGCCATATGCCCACCTCCATCCTTTATCCCCACTTTTTGCCTGTGAGACAGTTGGTGAGCTAATTCTGCTTCTGTATCTTTCCTTTCTATATATTTTTGGTTTTGTTAGTGCTAATTTTTTAGAAATAAATTTACTATTCTAGGGAAGCAAAGATTTATTTTCTCATCATAGCTAGGTTCTTGACTGAGACCCTTGAACCAAAAGGTAAATAAGAGAATAGAAGACACTTTGATTTCATGTGAGTGCTACATGATCTGGTAGCACTTTTTTTTTTTTTTTTTTTTTGATGGGCAGAGTAGACAGAGAGAGAGAGACAGAGAGAAAGGTCTTCCTTTGCCGTTGGTTCACGCTCCAATGGCCACTGAGGCCGGCACACCACACTGATCTGAAGCCAGGAGCCAGGTGCTTATCCTGGTCTCCCATGGGGTGCAGGGCCCAAGCACTTGGGCCATCCTCCACTGTACTCCTGGGGCCACAGCAGAGAGCTGGCCTGGAAGAGGGGCAACCGGGACAGAATCCGGTGCCCCGACTGGGACTAGAACCTGGTGTGCCAGCGCTGCAGGCGGAGGATTAGTCTAGTGAGCCACGGCGCCGGCCTGATCTGGTAGCACTTCATAAATGAAGACCAAAATGGGAGAAATCTGTCTATTTCTATGCTTAGTTTGATGAAGGTGTGAACAGTCATAGGGAAGTGTGATTGGAAAATAGAGGGGTTTGAATGAACAGGAATAAACTGAGGGGAACTGAGCAAGTCCACTTGTCCATATTCTCCTGTCCTAAAGTCTTAAGAGATGATGATGGTTCTTTCCTCTGGGTATAGTGAAAGTGTCTTCAAAATGAAGATTTAATGACCAGTTTCAGGGAGATGGGGAGGGGATGGTGAGAGTGACCTTCTTGTTTATGCTTTGTTCTCATACCTGAAGGTGCTGTGTTTTGGGAAGAATTTTTTGAACCCCTCGTTATTCTAACCTCCACTTTTGTTTTAGTTTTAGACGTACAGCTAAATATAGTCAACACTCCTGACTTGTGTCTTTGCACTTGTCTCTTTCTTTTGTTTTTTAAAAATTATTTTATGTTTTTTAAACATGTTGCCACCTTCACTTCTAATTTAGATATTATAAACATATACATGTATGCTGTTTTATTTTTGGAAACAGGGATATTATTATCACAGAGTATGAAATTCTTGACAGTTGTCATAACCTGGAGACCAAAGAGTATATTGTCATTTGCAAAGTATGATTTGGTGAAGAAATACTTGTAACCATATGCCAAATTATATGTCATCCATACAAATTTTTATTTTCTCATTATATTGATATCCACAAATAAGAGAAAATATGATATTTGTCTTTCTGGGTCTGGCTTATTTCACATAGTATAATCATCCCCAGTTCTATCCATTTTATTGCAAATGGCAGGATTTCATGATTTCTTATGGCAGAGGAATATTCCATAGTGTGGATATACCACACTCCGTTTATCCAGTCCTCAGCTGGTAGACATCTACATTGATTCCATGTCTTTGCTTTTGTGAATTGAGATGCAATAAACATGGGAATGCAGTTGTCTCTTTCATATGCTGATTTGATATCCCTTAGACATATTCCTAGTAGTGGGATTGCTGGGTAGATATATTTGTATTTATCTGAAGAATTTCCATACTGTTTTCTGTAATGCTTGTGCCAATTTGCATTCTCACCAATGCAGTATTAGGGTAGCTTTTTCTCCATAACCTTAACAGAATTTGTAAGTTGTCCATTTGTATTCATCTTTTGAAAAATCCCTGCTCATATCCTTTGCCTATTAATGAACTACATTGTTTGCTTTGTTGTTTTTTATTTTATTGAGCTTGTTTTATATTCTGGATATTAATCCTTTATCAGTTGCATGGTTTGCAAATGTTTTCTCTCATTCTGTCAGTTGCCTCATCAATTTGTCAGTTGTTGCCTTTACTGTGAAGCTTTTTAACTTGGCATAATCCCATTTGTCTATTTTTGCTTCACTTACCTGTGCTTCAGGGGTCTTATTCAAAGTCTTCCCACAGGCCAACGTGTTGCGCTATGTTCTCCTGCAGTAATTTGATTGTTTTAGTTTTTAAGCTTAGGTCCTTCCTCCATTGTGAGATGATTTTTTCCTGATAGTTCTCTTCCATAAATTTTTTATTTTACTTTTTAATTAGTTTTAACAGATTCAGTGTGCTTTATAGATACAATTCAAAGAACATAATGATACTCCCTTCCTCCCTCCATCTACCTCTCACCCTCCCACCCTCCTCTCTTCTTCCTTTTTTTGGTTTTGAGATAACATATTTTAAATTTATATTACAATAAAAAGGTTTCATACTTTACCAAAGAAGTTTAACAAGTAAGAAGAAAAAGTTCCTAGTTTAGTGGGAATATAGGCAGTGGTTATAAACAATCATGGAATGGAAAAAAATGGCCATTTCACTCGTAAACAGTAAATTTTAAAGTAATAAGAAATCATTAAACTGTAGTAGTATCACATTCTTAACCATTGGTTTCACAAAGGTATAACACAAGATTTTACAAAACTAAACTATATTTGCAGAGCTGCACAGCAGTGGGTCAATAGAAAGAGGGCTCTTCCATCCAGTGTTTCACTCCCCAAATGGCCAAAACAGCCAGTTGTTTGACAGGCTTATGCCAGGAGCCAAGAATTCCATCCTGGTCTCCCATGTGGGTTACAGGGTTCCAGAAACTGGATAAATAAGAGAGTAGCCAGGACTTGAACCAGTGCTCTGATATGGGATGCCAGAGTCACTAGCAATGGCTTAACCCACTACACCATTATCATGGACCCACTTTTAAAAGCTGAAAGAAAGAGTGAGAGAGAAGGACAAAGATCTCTCATCCACTGGTTCACTTTCCAGGTGAAAGCCAGGAACTGGGTTCCTTATCTAGTTCTCCTATATGGATGGAAAGGACCCAATTACTTGAACTAATACCTGCTGCCTCCCAAAGTGTGCATTAGCAAGAAGCTGGATTAAAAGCACTCTGATTTGGGTGCTGGATTCACAAGCAGTGTTCTAACCCACTGCACAATAATCACGGCCTAGTTAAAGCATATTGACAGGAAAAGAGAGAGATTTACTATCCACTGGTTCATTTTCCAACTTGAAGCCAGAAACTGGGTATTCAATCCAGGTCTCCCATGTGGATGTCAAGGACCCAAATACTTGAGTCTTTTACCTGCTGCCTCCCAAGGTGCACATTAGTCAGATGCTGTTTTGGAAGTAGAGTGGCCAGGACGTGAACCAGGCACTCTGATGTGGATGCAGCATCCCTTGGAGCAAATTAACTGCATAATTAATTAACGATTTGTGTAAATGGATGCACTCCTCCCTCCATTTACTTATTTCTCTTTGGTTAGAATTCCATTATCAAAATGTTGTCATTTCCATGTCTTCTAGAGTTTTTAACCTTTATATTTTTCATATGTTCTTCCTTCCAAATGTCTTTTTAAACTAGTCAACAGTGGGAAAATAAATAACCATAT